CAATGATGTGGTACAGTGACATAACAATGATGTGGTACAGTGACATAACAATGATGTGGTACAGTGACATAACAATGATGTGGTACAGTGACATAGTAATGATGTGCAAATCGGACACAAAACAAAGGTGTGATAAAGTGTCAAAATAGACATGGTATGTGACATGAATGTAAGAAAAATATGATACTCCAGAGACAGAAAAGTATATCAAATGACTGTCCGACCTACTTGTAACAACAACAGGAGGAATGAGAATTCAGGATTTATGAGACAACCCTTAAATCCCTGTTTTTTCTTTACATTCCCTTCTATGAATAACGAATAGTTAGTGGAATAACGAAACCTGCTATAACACATTTTTGGAAATAGCGAGATAATCTACTGCACATGAAGGATTGATAATAAACATGTGGTCGCCCAACCATCAAAACACAGAACATCATTTCAATGGGGGGGGGGTTTTGGGGTTGTTTTCTTTTTTTTTATGTCTTACGGAGCTCGCAACTGCATGAGGAAAGGTCATATGAGCATGCGGGACACATTAAACATTTTCAGTTTGTAGGAAATTTGGAATTTTACACGGGTGGCAGCCGAATCCTACTCTTACCGATTTTGGACCATCAAGGGATCTTTAACATACGCAACTTGCACAAAGGACCTCCGAGATTTTTCGCTCTTATCCGAGAAGGCTAGGTGCAGATCTTACCTAATGATCAGGGGTGTGGCTGAAAGACAGCAGTAAGAAGCACAATAAGAAGCAGCCAAGGAGTAGCAGTAGAAAGACTGCAGAAAGAGTCCAAAGCCCTGAAGACGGGGGGCTAAGGAGGTGGGAGGGTGGGGGCAAAGGAGGTGAGAGGGTTGGGGCAGAAAGTGGAGACGAAAGCAGACGACAGAACACAGAGAGAAAAAAAGAAAAAGGAGAAAATTTTTAGAGAAGAACATTTTCTGCTGCTATACGGATTCGAACTTGGGACCTATTGAATGAGATGCGAACACCTTAACCTCAAGACAACGAGAACCCCAATTTCAATGTTTGAAAATGGTTGATACAAGTGACTGTCAGGACCATCCCATCTCCTCTGCTCCCTGAAAATGCTGAACTTCTTACAAGCCCCCCCCCCCCCCCCCCCCCCCCCATAAATCCACTTCTTTACACACATACAAACCCTTGACCCATGCACTCTTGCACTCCATTCACAGTCTGTCCACATTAATATAATACAGCTTCAGCTGATGCACGCCCACCGACAACTATAAGCAACACATGTCACCTAAACAGCGAGAGTAGATTAATAGGGCATGCAGTAACTCTATTCCCTACAGCCCATCATAGTCTTGTACTTGTGTTTTAATTACAGTGGAGTCAACTTATAACGAGTCCTGAAATAACGAGAAGTCTGTTATAAACCCCATTTTTTCCCCTTCTTTATCTTTGTAAATAAAATACTGCTCTATAGCGCAATCAGACAAACACACGAGTTGATTATAGCAGAATATTGCTGCTGCTGTGCACGGCACATAGGCCAGTTATACATGGTAAAACCTCACCAGTTGAGAAACTTGTTTGTGATCTAGCGAAACCAAGGACCTTACATCAACTCCTTGAGCGAGACAAAGAATGGGAGAGCCCACGTGCGCCAACAATGAAGTCCAGAGCGAATGAGTGGGGAGGGTGTGTTATGCGCAGACTAGCAGAACGCATCGCGTGACAGGCCAGCCTAGTCTAGATTATCTAGAGGCCTACGACTACCATGCCTCTCACTTCTCTGATGCCCGAACACCCAAAGGCCGTTTCCCTGTTAAGTATGTGCGCTATTGACTACAGTGGGTGTCACATTCAACGAGGTTGCCGGGACCGGCTCGTTGTCCTCGTTGGATCCCACCTCTCGTTGAACATAACTTACGCTAAAGAAAAGAAAGGAGACAAGTTATTATATTTCACGACGTACCAATACCAGTAAAATGGAGTCCACTTCAACAAGTCCTGAAATAACGAGAAGTCTTGTTATAAAGACACTCTTCTAAAACCCCGTTTTATTTCCTTTCTTTATCTTTGTAAATGAAATACGTGGTAGGCCAGCCCAGTCTAGATTATCGAGGCCTACCAAGCCTCTCACTTCTCCGATGCAGGGATGGAGAGGTCACAGTGCTGTGATGGAGGGAGCGAAAGTGTGATGTGCACAAGCAGACACGGGAACGTACCATGGGGTGTGATGGGGTGGTGGACAACACATCGGGCGAGTTAGTCTAGAGAACCTTCTGATCGCCAACACCGAGCTGTCAACATTGCTAATGCTAGAGAAAGAAACCTGATTCGATTTTTGATCAAATAAGACCAAGAGGTCATATTGGGCAATATCATCATCAGGGGCGATAACAACAACAAAAAACTACACCAAATTCATAGATTAGGCCTACCGGTACTTTATTACAGGGTTGGGTTGATTTAAATCAGGTCGATTTAATTCATTTTATTTTTTTTATTTAAAACAACTTGATTTTTAAAATAAAAATCAGTGATTTAAATCACTTTTTTTTTAAATTATTTTTATTCAGTTTTCACATATTTCAACGTTCAGTATTCCTTTCCTTGGTTTCATAAAATAGATTAAGGTTTGGTAGACAAATATAATCATGCTTAAAAGTCTGCTTTCTGTAAAATAATACAGTATTCAATTTTTTTTTTTTTCCATAAATTGAAATCAGAGCTGGGTTGATTTAAATCAGCTGATTTGTTTAAATTTTAATCAACTTGATTTTTAAAACAAAAATTATTGATTTAAATCATTTTTTTTTTTATGTATTCAGTTTTCACATATTTAAACATTCAGAATTCCTTTCCTTGGATTTATTGAACAGATATAAGGTTTAGTAGACTAATATAATCATGCTTAAAAGTCTGCTTTCCCCCCTGTCACTGCAAAACAATACAGTATTCAATTTACTTTTTTTCATATAATTGAAATCAGGGTTGGGTTGATTTAAATCAGTTGATTTTTTAAATTTTAAATCAACTTGATTTTAAAAATAAAACCCGGATCAGTGATTTAAATCACTTTTTTTTCAATGTATTCTGTTTTTACATCTTTAAACATTCAGAATTCCTTTCCTTGGTTTTATAAAACAGATATAAGGTTTAGTAGACTAATATAATCATGCTTAAAAGTCTGCTTTCCCCCCTGTCACTGTAAAATAATACAGTATTCAATTTACTTTTTTTTCATAATTGAAATTAGCATTTTCTTTTTCTTTTTAGACAAACACAAGCGCGCACACACACACACACACACACACACACACGCACACACTGTAATAACATGCAAGTTTATCTATGCATAATCACCCCCCCCCCCCCCCCCCCTTCCTTTTAGACTGACATTTTCTTCATTTATTTGTCTGTAGCCATAATTCACTGATATAGCAGATTAAGGCTTTCTTTTACAGTTGCTTAAATTAATCATTACTTAAAATAAAGACAATGCAATTTGCACTAAAAGAACATACTTTTAACCATCAAAAATCCCAAACTGTGTCTACATTTTTTTTTTTATTTAAAAAAAAAAATCTGATTTAAATTTTAAAAATCTGATTTAAATTTAAAAAATCGATTTCTTAAATTTTTATTTCAAAAATATAAGAAATCACTAACCCTGCTTTATTATTTCCTTTGAATTTATTACTGGATCCCTTATAAAGAGAATCCTGCTATAACAGACATTTAGTACCAGTCCCCTCCCTCTCGTTATAACAGGATTCCACTGTAATTAAAACAGTTGTTACCCCTGATGACGAAAATCTCAAACAGTATCAGTGTGCGCGAGTTTGAGCTGTGTTCTGACCGTCATTTCTGCATTTAAAATTATTTTTTTTCCGGAACACTTAGGTTAAACAGTAGGTTAAATTGCTAAGAGAAATTATAATGTTTGCCTCCATGATATATCCTGGCTTTATGAAACCTCGCAACCGTCAACCCTCACCCGGTGCGTGGTTTCATCATTCCCGTTTGAGAGAGTGGCGTGCTTATACGAGATTCTGGATAAGCCTTCTTTATGAATTGTCTTAATGGAAGCGGAAATAACTGACATTGTCTGGTGCATTTTAGGCTACCTGACTGAATAAAGAAATATTTCATTCATATATTCATTCACTTTATTTTCGTCAGTTCAGAAATTCAAATAAGGTAATAAGGGAAGGAATTACATTATTTAGGTAAATCTTTGAAATCCTGTTATAAGTTATAGGGATGACTAACGCGGGGGTAAACAAGACGTTCTAATCAAGCACAAACGTAGTTAACACTTAATTTAAAGAGACAATCACACCTTGAAATGACAGGTGACAACAGTCTTTAGTAAGACTAGGTGACAGATCTAGGCACTGTCCAGATGTCAATAGTTCATTTTGTTTATCAAAGAGAGAGTAAGGTTTCACACACTCTCAGACTGTGAATACGCTGAGTAGTTGAATCCTCCAGTTGTGGTTGAGACCTAGTAAGTTCAGTACTATTAGCCTAATAGTACTGAACTTACCCATGTCCTTGGTAACAATGAAGTCTATAGACAACATGGTGAAAAATTTGTGCCTCAACAACACAAGCGATAAGGACATTTCCGTATCAGCTTTGAATATCTTATCCCAACTGTGCTCATCATTAAGAATTTTACACCCTCCAAGGGCTGGATTGGAAACCACTGAGCACACCATGTTCCATGAATTGACTCCAGCCACTATGTTGCAGACCTTTCCAGGGCTGTCCCTGATATGTGGGGGCAAGGAAGTATGAGCATCATCCCAGACTGATTCTGCACCAACACCAGTGTCACCTGGAATCAAGCCCCAAACCATACTGACGTTTCACCAAGCAGCTGTAAGTAAGCTGCAGAATTATTACCTACGGAGTCACAGCAACACGATCTGGAGACCACATTCCTAGGTCCATCTGACCTCTTCATTCACCTTAGCTACTTTTCCTGGAGCCTTATCCAGAAATAAAGCTTATTTGTGATGCCAGCATGAACAGAGAAAAAGAAAGGGTTTTCAGGAGTGGCAACAAATAAGCGAAAAGCTATCCATGAATCTGGACAGGAATACCATGAAAAGCTCAGCTAAGCCATTGAAACCAAACTGAGATTGCAAGAGCTGAACTCTGAAATGTAAAGGGCTCTCTGAGGAATACAGACATTCTAATTTTGATTTAGTGTGGTTCCTCTCATGTGATGAAAAAGTGTCTCTTTATAAATTGAACTAGTGGACATAGACCAACCTCAGAGGAGGTATTCAGAAACTAACCAAAGAGGGCAAACCTCTACTTCAAATATACGTTTTAAAAAGGTGGCCATAAGGCGCCAGTGTGTAAAAAGAGGTTCTTCATTTGAACAAAATATATGGACATTTCTGCCAAGACCATGTGAGGCAGCCTCTCTAAAGACCCACCCTCAATGAATCATTCAGGCAGAATAACTTGTCGCTGTTAATGACAAAGAAAGAAATGTGCAACCTTTGCATCATCCGTGAAGTTTGCAAAGTGCCGGAGGATGTTTGGAAAGCTTACATATAGGCAGAGCGCAAGGAAAAGGAACGAGACTAATCTGAAACCATCAAATTCAAATGTCTCGCCAGTGATGAACCTAAAACGGCTGTACTTTCAATGGATTTTCAGCATCAGCCCTATATTAAAACAAAGCTCGCCATTCATGACTTTATGCTATCTGATGCTGCAAGATGCCAGACTACTTGTTACATGTACGTGGCATGAAGCAGAAGGAGCACTTATGGCAAATGAGTTTGCTTCATGTCTACTGGATTTCCTGAAGGAAAAGCAGGACTGCCAGAAAACCATCATCGACAGCGACAGCTGTTGTTACAAACACAGAAATGCCACACTAGCCAATGTTTCTCTCAGCCTGTTTGCAACAACACATGGTAGCACAATTGAACAGACATATTTGATCAAAGGATACACACAAATGGAAGTTGACAGGGTACACTCCACTATTGAGAGATCACTTCAAAAAGCATGCATCAAGGTCACCCGGGACTACCTCCACTTCTTTACGATGGAAAGAGCAAAACCAGAGATTTACCAAAACAAAAATATTAGGGTCACACATTCTTCAAGGACTATTCTCAATGTGGAAGCTACAAGTCTATAAGACCAGGTAGAAAAACGGGTGATCCTGTTTGAAGTAGGCCCTACACCCCGCCCCAGACATGAACATCCAGTTCAAGATGCATCTCAGTGATGAATGGGCTGACGTTCCAAAGGCAGGACACAGAAATATGAGGTCCATCCCGCCACACCACTTCACACAGAACGTCTTAAGATCCAGCACTCCAAGTACAATCACTTGCAGAGGAGCTTAAATCTGTTATTGCCAAAATACATCATAACTTTATTACAATTTTTACACTATTAACATTTATTCTATCATTATAGCTATTCATTATGATTTTTTTCATAGCCAGACATCGTACTGAATTTGTTTGCACGCACGTAATGTTTTTTGTTTTATAGCGCTCGCAACTGCACAAGGTCATATGAGCGCGCGAAACAAAGGTTGGTTCTGTTTGCAACAGTACACTGCACAGCCCGATTCTGGTCAACACCTCTATTAAAAGGCTTCCAGTTAACTCGTCACACTGTGAAGTCATAAGATACCTCCAGTGATCTCGTCACAGTCATCTCGCCAAAAACTCAAACTTGTAAAAAAAAATATGTGTCAACCTTTAATTAATAACATTTTTTTAATATAAAACCAGAGTTTATTCAATCAAAATCTACACGGTTCAACCTTTCTGTATCAATATTTTAAAGAGAAAATGGACACATTTTTGGGTGCAAAGACCTGTTAAAAATGTGCATGTCCTTACTATGCGCAAAAAAAAACAAATCTAAAATAGTACAAGATGGCAGGTGGAGGTGGTGTGGTGAGTTCGCTGTTATTTGGATACCTTTCTTTTCGGTGAACTTGGCCCACGTTTTTCAGCTGTGTCGACTTCACCGTGTGACGAGTTCACTGGTTCCCTATTAAAATGCCAAAATACAAAAAAATTGATGAAAATAAACTATTAACTAATTAATTTTATAACAATTTTCTAAATAAATAACATTAAAAATTTTTAACAATTCCTTTCACAACTTCCCAATGGCCTTTATAAAATCCAGAATTCAGCTGGGATCAACAACACACATGCCGTTAAACGTAGAACAACGCATCTTCCTGAATGGCTGCTTATTTTAGTAATTAGATGTGATCACTTCTTGGGATACCCACAGACTATTTTAAGAAGGCCGTGGAGGTACCGCATTGAATTACGTGTTTTCTGTGTATGTTAATATTTTGTTAATAACATTTTGGAATTTCTAGATTAATACTTAAACAAGATGGAAGGTCGCTTACATCTAGATCGTTGATGCTCAGAACAGTCAGAACGCATGCTAGAAATTGAAACACGGTAAACGCAAAGACAATAAACCGCACGAAACGGCCGTAAAGACGCCAGAGGATCAGATCTAACCCCCCCCCCCCTTCCTGTATGCTTCATCACTAAGATCTTATGCATTAAAAAAAAACTACAAAGCAACAAATTATAACTTATGGGACAACTGTTGGTCAGTCAGGAGGAGGAGAAGAGGATAAAAAACAACGCAGTTGCTACGTTCACGGAGCCCTGAATGTAGTTGGCACGCTACGTTCACGGCGCCCTGAATGTAGTTGGCACGCTACGTTCACGGCGCCCTGAATGTAGTTGGCACGCTACGTTCACGGCGCCCTCAATGTAGTTGGCACGCTACGTTCACGGCGCCCTCAATGTAGTTGGCACGCTACGTTTACGGCGCCCTGAATGCAGTCTTCTTCTTCTTCTTCTTCTCGATCGCATCACACTTTAAGTCCGGTATCTGTCATAAATTGGGCCGTCCTGCTCAGTTCATCTGGCGGCCCGTATAGCTTCTCTTGTAGTGTCAGTGGGGTTGGCCACGTTTCCTGTCTCAGGGCCCTGTGTGTTTTGCAGTGCTGAAGGATGTGTTCAACAGTTTGGTCCGCCTCTCCACACTGGCATTTTGGTGGTTGTACTAGTTTAAAACATTTGTGCATACGTTGTCTCAGTCTTGTGTGTTGTGTCCTTAGTCTGAAGATAATCACTTGTTCTTGGCGGGACAGCTCATGGTAGTTATCTGGTATCTGAGGTGCTTTAAATAGTGTATTTATAATAGTTTTTATTTCTGTGTAGTTAACGCTGTTGTCTGGTTGCTCTTTTTGTGCTCCTAGTTTGGCTATCCTGTCTGCCTGCTCATTTCCCAAGACACCACAGTGTGATGGAATCCACTGCAGCATGATCCTCAGACATGGGATGTCCTCAATTTCTTTTCGTAGCCTTGGTAGTTTGCCGGAAGTGATTGCCTGCAGTACTGACATGGCATCTGTTAGGAATACTACTTGGCTTTGGGGGTCTACCACATTCTTGATGATGTTTGCTGCATGTACTAGAGCCTCCATCTCTGCCCTGTAGTTTGTACAATGTCGCCCTGTTGGGACTGCCTCTGCTTGTCGTCATCCATTTGGGAACTCCGGCTCCTCCTCTTTTCACAGCATCAGTGGCAGATCCGTCTGTATAGATCCTTATCCATGCTTCTCGTGGGTATCTTTCTTCAAGCATGGACAGGGTGAGGGACTTCTTGCTCAGGTCGCTGTGGTCATCTTTTGTGGTGAACATAGGAATGGACGTGTGTATAGATATGTTTGTGTTTTTCTTTTCCCATGATGGTGCCTCTGGGGTGTGATTCAGCATGTCAACTGTGGCTGGTAGATGGTCCTGTAGGGATCTTTGGATTTTTCTGCTTTCTTTGATGAAGTTGGATCTTTTGAGTCTTGCGGTGTTGATCTCGCTGTTCTCGTGTGCAGTATATGATCCTCCATAGCTGTGGCCTTGGTGTACTGTATGAGAGCCTTGCATTCCCATCTCCTCTGCAGGGCCACTATAGATGTTGTTTGTTCCATCTTTTCTATAGGCGTTGACCTCATTGCTCCAGTGATTATTCGGAGAGCCTGGTTTTGCACTTTTTCCAGGGTGTATTTGTGAGTCTGTGCTGCAGTCATCCATGCACTGGATCCGTACTCGAGATGGGGCCTGATTGCGCCCAGATAGACCTGTCTAAGTGTTTTCTCATTTGCTCCCCACTGAGTCCCTGCTAGTTTTCTCATGATGTTAAGTTTCTTCCTGGCTTTATTTTCTGCATTCTGAATGTGTTGTTTCCATGTGAGACGCTTGTCAAAGATTATTCCAAGATACTTCTGTTGATTCTCAAACTTTAGGGGGGTTTTGTCTAATGTGAGGTGTTTTGGCTCAGCCTGGCTGAGAGTGAAGAGTGTAGCAGAAGACTTTTCTTTGTTTACGGTTACACACCAGGTTTTTGTCCATGTAGTGAGTTTGTCCAATGCTAGTTGCATGCGATATATGGCTGTAGTGACGAATTCCTCAGAGCACCAAAGAACCAGGTCGTCTGCATACATGCGGCATGTATTCCTTTGGGCAGTTCATTCATGAGGTCATTGATGAAGAAGATGAAGAGCAAAGGTGACATGACTCCACCTTGGGGTACTCCTTGTCGCAGAAGCATTTTCCGTCCTTGATATCCATCCACCAGCACACGTGCTCTTCTGTTGGGTAGATAGGATTTGGTCTTTTGGTACATGTTGCCTTGGATACCACTTCGAAGGAGCTTGACTAGTAGACCCTCCTGAATGCAGTTTGCAGGCGCTGTTGAGTCTACGTTCACGGCATTCAAGCTTCGTTCAGACGGAGCATCCACTGTCTGTTTCAGTAAGCCGGTTTTAGTAAGTGACGACAGTGACGTACATTTAATATTTTGGCCTGCTTCAAGCATTCCATCCCATAAGATGAAAGAAAACAAAGCAGTGATCCTTGACCGATCGACCATTCGTTGTTTTCCCTTACACTGAGCTCTGACTCAGAGCTCACCAGTGTAAAGGAAAACGACGAACTCTCAATTACGCAACAATGCATATCTAATATATGACAAAAATGTATACGCATACCAAGATGTTTCATTGCCCTATCTCGCATCGGGACGAGACTTGGGCGCTACCTTGTGTTAGCGCGTGACAGCCCGTGATAATACAAGTGTAAACAAATGTTCGAGCACTCTCGAGTTGAAAGCATGCAATTTTGTCTGCAGGCAGTGTGTGTGTGTGTGTGTGTGTGTGTGTGTGTGTGTGTGTGTGTGTGTGTGTGATTTTTTTAGTTTTAGTAAGAATTTTACGGCACTTGCAACACAATAAGGTCATATAAGCGCCGAAGAATAGATGTGTTACAAGAGAGTAACATGCACAAAAAAGATGGAGGTATGCAGATAAGGACGATAGATTTTTGATAGAAAGAAGGAGCAAACCACACAAGAGCATCCGCCAACCACCCGCGTGTGAGGTTTGAGAGAGAGA